TTCGCCTTCAGTTGATGCGAACGTGCATTTGTGACATGCGTTCATTCTTATAGTACGTTGAATTCAGATTAGAGACTCTTTGAAGTTTCAACTTTGGAAAAAAAAGGTGATAAATCAGATGAATTGAAGAAGTAAGAGTGGAAGGAGAAGTGAAGGACGACGGAAACGTCTCCATAGACGTAACAGAAGTGGAAAATCTGACTGTGAGAAGATTTGGAGAATTGTGAAAAGTAGTGAATATGCGAACATAGAGTCAATCATACTCTTGAAATATTTTTCAGATGAAAAGAAAAGAAGCTCTGATCGACGAATGATGCTAAAATTGATCAGAGAAGAAGAGAATACTGGATGTGTTCGAAGAATATTCATTTGCAAATCCTGAAATCAACCAATTGTGAATGGAACTTCAGAATTTTATCTTGCTGTTTCAATGCAGATACATTTGCGTGTGCATGTTCGCCAAGTATGCCGCCATCGAACTAATCATCCTTTCAGTAAGTATATATTGAAATCACGTATTTGCTTTCATACGGGCAAAGTGACCCAGAAACGTGCTTATTATAGCAGCTGATATGGACGAAATTGACTCTGAGGCATGTCGAAGCTCTTGCGGCAATTTTTACGAGGATACATTTTTGACGATTCATTTCAGGAATTTTTACAAAATTATTGTATATGGATGAAATTGTATAGGAAATTGGAATTTGTGTATGGATGAAACTCGAATGAGCAGAACTGCTGACGTGGACTATGTCAGGTTGATGAAAAAGATCCTCTATGGACTAAATGAGTGTTACAGTGGTGATATTTTCTTCGACTGTAAAGTGCGAAATTAGCTTAAATGTAAGCAATGCCCCATGGAATGTTCAGATTTTGATCGGAATGAGTATCACAATCGGGAAGTTAGATGGCTGAGTGGGAATGAATGGCTTTTGCTCCATCGATGAGATCATCATCGGATAGGAGATGTTGTGCTTACCTGACATCTTCTTCGCCCAAATCGGTGGCATTAACTCAAGGAAGAAGTGGTCAGCTCGTTCGTATTGTTCCGTATCAACCACACCGATGTCGATGAACGCTCTGCAATGCAAAATGTACTTGGGTCAATATTACGGATCAAATGGAATCAAAGGATGTAAATATCGGATATAATTCTTGAACGTTGCTGAACGATACCTGCGGGCACCTTTTCAAATGAATCAATGGTTGTCTCAGTTCATTCATCGTTGACAATGTTTATCTAACATGACGGATATAAGTAGAGCTAATAAACTCGTGAACACTCACGAGGAACCGATTGTTTCTGTTCCGAAAGGTTCGTTCAAGCTTGCCATAACAATTTTTCGTGTAAATCAGTTTTTCAGCACTCAAGTCTGGCCCAATGAGGCTTCAAAAGCTGGCTCATTTGATTGCCCTACGTGTTGTTCTATGGGACGAAATGGAAAAAGTTTTCGTCAAAACATGACCATTC